TGTTCCCCTTCCCCCAGTTCCCCAGCACTGTTCCAATCCCCCCAATTCCCCAATAAAAATCTTAAAAAATATATGTTAACTAAGATTTTGCTCCATAAAATAATAAAGCCCTGGGCATTGGGAGGGGGTGGTGGCTGAGTTTATGGCCCAGCAAGGATGAGTGGTGACATTTGATGGAGCACACAGTATCCTTGATTTTATGTCACCTTTCTCAGACTCCATTGAGGGTGAAGGGTGAAGAGATTGAGTGCCCTGCTTGCTAAGGGGAGGGCTCGACAGGGAGCTGGTGGGACTTGGAGTGTGATTGCCCTTGTTTGGCTACCTGTTCTTGTTCTGTCCGCTGGGCTGCCCACTAGGCATGCGCTCAAGGAAGGCCACGACTCCCCTTCCACACGGCCCACTCCTGTCATCATGAAGTCCTCCATCCCCGTACTTACTGCTGTTCAACTTGTGGTCAGTTATCTTTTCAGATTTTTCTCTAAAGCTTCAAATAGGTCAAAAGACATTCATGGCTGCAGGCCATCTGGGACAGGCTCCTTAAGGGGGCCTCCCCTGCCCCAAACGGCCCATCCCTAAGACTCACTTCTTGTCCCTCCCCAGGCTCAGCATTATCCGAAGCTGTTGGGGGTGGGCATCAGAGCACTGGCAGGGGACAGATACGTACTGTCGCCAGACCCCACTCCAGCTCCATTTAGAAATAACGTTCTTTCTTACAGCCAGCTGTGCTGTTTCATTTTGAGACCTGCCCCCAACTCCTGGCCAACTAAATACGATTACTTTTACCTACTCTCTCTCTCTCTCTTTTTTTTTTTTTTTAGCTGAGCCATCCTGCTACCTTACCTAATCTCTTTTACAAGCTCCTGAGGCGGGGAAGATTGTGGGATGCTTGCCAGAGAGTATGGCCCACATTTAGTTCCCAAAACCTTTTTCTGTCAAGAATGAGACATGCACGTAGGTGAGTCCACTGCGTGCTGTGTGGAGGGATGCCCTCCCTGATGCTCTAGCCCTGCTGAAAATATGTACTTGAGAGCAGGAATCACAGAAGTCATGATGAAGGTCATCGTGAGTCAGAGTTTCCTGTCCGGGAGAAATTGGCACAGCTGGTCTTGCCTCCTGAAGCTTGTTGGAAAGACTTTAGGAAATGGTCCCTTGGGGGTATGAGGACATTCTCTGTTGTACCTGAGGGTCTGGCTCTCACCTTGAGTGAGTCACTTGGAATTGAGACCCACAGGATGGGGGGGTTTTCTTCTCCCCACTGATAGTCCTGTGGGGATGGCCTCTCTGTGGGGCTAAGGTCACTGGAAGGGAGCGGAGCCCTCCGATCCCTGCTGTTTGTCCATGCCCCAAGCCCGCTGGGGCACACTGTCAGCGACTTCTAGGGCATCGACATGCAGCTCTTCCGTGTAGTCGTGGCATCAGCTATCTCTCATTTTTCCCTGAAGTGTTACTATTGTACATCCTTTCCCATCAGCCTTATGTGGGATGCATGATGCCCAGTAATCTGCGAAGGAGCTGCCAAGGATTCAATTATTTTATTTCCAAAAGTGGTTTTCACCACGGGGATAAATTGGGATCTGGAAAAATCTTATGCCATGGGCAGCACTTGTCTCCCACGCCTCACGTTTCCAGAAAGGGAAAGTCACAGCCTTTGACACCAGACACGGACTATATATACTCTAGAGTTTAAAAACAAACAAAACTGATATAAGATGCTAACAACCAGAATACTATTTTCCTTTAGGGAAGAGGGAGGGTTTCTGGTGGCCGGATGGGCACTGTTGGGCACCTGTATGTAAATGGGCACCTGTATATTCTGTATGTGCGTGCCCAGGAGCAGGGACTACCCCTAGCCAAGTAAGCCTCTTTAGGAACGATAAGGTTGAAGCAGGTGTCAAGGGAGTAAATGTTGAAGGATTGGGAGGTATGGAGAGAGGGGCGAGGAATGTGTCTTTTAGTTGAGCGAGTTAAAGGGAAGGAGGACAATTGACCTTTGATGGTTAGGTGAGGTAACAAACATGCCTCTGGTAGTGTTTTGGGGGGAGGGCATTGACCTTGAAGGTGATGGATTGCATGGACCCCATCTGAGATTGATGGTTAAAGCAGAGGGGCATCTTAGAGGAGGTGTCGGGGCAACTGGCTGTTGTAAAGGGTGAGTCCTCTGACTCTGTCAGGGTCCAGAGACAGACCCAGGTTAGGGACATCACAGGGACACAGAGGAGGCGTACATTTGGGAGGAATGAGGATGGAGTACCTAACTTCATCACTTACAATAAGTCAGCAGATAACAAATAGGACCCAAATCTTTGATTCCAGGAGACTGAGTTTAGTGCAGTTGCCGTAACAACTGTGGAATTAGAGGAAGACACCAAATCTGCCCGGGGCCGGTCATGTTCCCCCAGGATGTAGCCTGTGGTTCAGCCTTGGAGGACACGCAGAACTTTCCCAGCTTTTCCAGGTGATGTGAGGACCCCAAGGGACCCCAGGAAATGGGAATAGGGTGTGCAGGGACCGGTCTTCTCAGGGCAGGTGAGTCACTCACTCCAGTTCTGTCTGTGGTGCAAACTAGCAGCAGATGAAGCTGGAAGGCACACGTGAAGGGAGGAAGGCCCGAGTGCTGTGCTGAGGACTTGGATTAATCCTGGAGGTAAGAAAGGGAGAGTGAAGCACAGAGCTGGTATCTGTAGTTTAGAAGGGTCCTTCCGGTTGGGGCTATGAAAAGTGATTAGAAGGAAGCAGCCTGGAGGCAGGCGAACCTGTTGTAAGCATTCAGCAAAGAGAAAAGAGTCGTGAAAGGAAAAAGAGAAGAGCCTCTGAGGTCTAGGGTGCTTTCAGACAGGACATGGGGACCAGTTGCCCTTGACAGTGCAGGAGAGGCAATTCATCTTCAATGATTTCTGATTTCTAGTTTGGGCACTGGGCTAGCTCCATTCACAGAAGGAGGGGCAAGTTTGAGTTCGAAATAATGCATTTAGTTGGGGACGGGTTGAATGCGAAGAGTTGGCGGGATCTGTTGGTGGAAATCAGGGTCTGCAGCTGGGAGAAGGGCGTGGGACTTTAGATTTCGGGTTTATCGTCGGGGATGAAGTCATGGGAGTGGAAGCTATTGCTCTTAAAAGCTACTGTTCATCAACATGGACTGAGGTGGACCATCTTCCCTTGTTCCTGGGTTTTTTTCCCCCCTATAAATGAGTGTGAGAGAAATGACAGGATTAGGATTGCTCGTTTGTCCTGAACCCAGCTATGGGGAGGAAATGGAAAATATAAATAAAATAGAGACAGAGTTCAGGCAGGTTGGAGAGCAGTACACCTGGTTCATCAGCAGAGAGCTGGCGGTGAATCTCCCCCAGGAGTGGTGCATGTCCAGGGAGTGGAGCGGGCCTCTGTGAACAGGTGCTTCTAAAACGCTCAGCCCCTTAATCCCGTGGCTGTTTGCAGGAGTGCGCATCTCTGTCGCTCAGAACCAGCCCACTCAGTAAAGACGTTGTCTGGTAAAAAGCTGAATCCCTTCAGTGGCCCAGGCGGTCCGCCCTTCTTCCCATCACTGTGGGCTGTCCACAGGCCACTGGCTTCGCAGGTGTGGATGACGTGGGATTCAGACCACTGGATGGAACTGGAGGGTGGGTGGACAGGCGTGAAGAAGACACCTGGGTGCTGGGAAGTACCCGAGGCACAGGACGCCAGAGGGGAGAGTGGACAGTGGCTCTGCACCTCTGAATTCCTGGAGGACGTTGGACTGTGGGGATGAGGGGCGGAAAGCACTGGATTCGGGAGAAGACCCTGAATCCCTGGGAGGGTGGAGTGGGGTGTGAGAAGCAGGGGGTGGACCCTAGAAGGCTGGGCAGAGGGCTCTGAGCCCAGAAGAGGCAAAGGACATGTATAACCTGGGAGGTTTGCGTCACCGTGACTATCCTCTCCAGCCCGCACGCCTGGCCTCCCCCAGGTCCCAACATGAGGCACTGGTCTGAGTCAATGGCCCACGCCACAGGAGTTTGTGATCCTGGGCTTCTCCGGGTGGCCCCAGTGGCTATGGGTGCTGCTCTTCTGCCACTCTTACCTGGCCACGCTGGCAGGAAACCTCATCCTGGGCCTGGCCATCATAGACCTGCCCTGCATACACGCCTGTACTTCTTCCTGGGGGCCCTGCCTGCTGTGGAGGCTGCCTACACGCTGGTGCTGACTCCGCACATGCTTGCTGGCGTCCTCCTGCTTCCTGGTGGCCAGGCAGTGACCCCCTCTACCTGCGCTGCCCAGATGGGCCTTTTTGTGATGCTGGAAGGATCCAAGTGCCTGCTGCTGAATGCCATGGCCCTGGCCCGCTACCTGGCCATCTGCCGCCCTCTCTACTACCTCAGCTCATGACCATAGGGCTCTGCTGGTGCCTTCTTGCCTCCTGCTGTGCAGAGGGCTCTATCCTGGCCTCAGGCCTCGCCGCCGCCATATTCCAGCTGCCTCTCTGTTGTGGGGGCTTGGTCAGCCA